TTGTCAAAATATACCCAAAAGTGTTGTTTCCCTATATAAACTATAGTAAACTTTACCCCCTCCCCAAGGGAGAACGGATAGCTCGGGGGTCCTGAAATTTACAATTTAAGTATAGCCCTTGATGATCTTTCTTTCCACGTAGAGAAAATGAGTGTAGTACCTACCTCTGAGTCTGGAGAAGAAGATTTTTGAAATATTGGTTAATTTTCCCTTTGGGGCCCCGCCCTAGCCCCAGGGGTTGGGGTAGGAATCCCAATTTTACAATTTTGAAGCCTCATCTACCAAGGATGATTTTGACCAAGTTTGAAAAAATCCACTGGTTCTTGAGAAGAAGTTGAAAATGTAAAAGTTTATGCACGACGCATGACGCACAACGGACGACGGACGACGACGGACGAAAAGCGATTGGAATAGGTCACTTGAGCAAAGCTCAGGTGACCTAAAAAGGTCCTACACAATGAGGTCATATAACGAAGAGGCAGCACTTACTTGAAGGCTGACCGTCGCAGTACAGACAGGAAGTGAGGGTATGGGTTTGGAGGGAAGTGGTCTTCAGTTGATATATCCACAAGGAAGTCATACCAAACCATGTCTAGGTGAGTATCCACAACGTACTGAAACAATTCATGTTAAAATATAAGTCATACCAAACCATGTCTAGGTGAGTATCCACAACGTACTGAAACAATTCATGTTAAAATATAAGTCATACCAAACCATGTCTAGGTGAGTATCCACAACGTACTGAAACAATTCATGTTAAAATATAAGTCATACCAAACCATGTCTAGGTGAGTATCCACAACGTACTGAAACAATTCATGTTAAAATATAAGTCATACCAAACCATGTCTAGGTGAGTATCCACAACGTACTGAAACAATTCATGTTAAAATATAAGTCATACCAAACCATGTCTAGGTGAGTATCCACAACGTACTGAAACAATTCATGTTAAAATATAAGTCATACCAAACCATGTCTAGGTGAGTATCCACAACGTACTGAAACAATTCATGTTAAAATATAAGTCATACCAAACCATGTCTAGGTGAGTATCCACAACGTACTGAAACAATTCATGTTAAAATATAAGTCATACCAAACCATGTCTAGGTGAGTATCCACAACGTACTGAAACAATTCATGTTAAAATATAAGTCATACCAAACCATGTCTAGGTGAGTATCCACAACGTACTGAAACAATTCATGTTAAAATATAAGTCATACCAAACCATGTCTAGGTGAGTATCCACAACGTACTGAAACAATTCATGTTAAAATATAAGTCATACCAAACCATGTCTAGGTGAGTATCCACAACGTACTGAAACAATTCATGTTAAAATATAAGTCATACCAAACCATGTCTAGGTGAGTATCCACAACGTACTGAAACAATTCATGTTAAAATATAAGTCATACCAAACCATGTCTAGGTGAGTATCCACAACGTACTGAAACAATTCATGTTAAAATATAAGTCATACCAAACCATGTCTAGGTGAGTATCCACAACGTACTGAAACAATTCATGTTAAAATATAAGTCATACCAAACCATGTCTAGGTGAGTATCCACAACGTACTGAAACAATTCATGTTAAAATATAAGTCATACCAAACCATGTCTAGGTGAGTATCCACAACGTACTGAAACAATTCATGTTAAAATATAAGTCATACCAAACCATGTCTAGGTGAGTATCCACAACGTACTGAAACAATTCATGTTAAAATATAAGTCATACCAAACCATGTCTAGGTGAGTATCCACAACGTACTGAAACAATTCATGTTAAAATATAAGTCATACCAAACCATGTCTAGGTGAGTATCCACAACGTACTGAAACAATTCATGTTAAAATATAAGTCATACCAAACCATGTCTAGGTGAGTATCCACAACGTACTGAAACAATTCATGTTAAAATATAAGTCATACCAAACCATGTCTAGGTGAGTATCCACAACGTACTGAAACAATTCATGTTAAAATATAAGTCATACCAAACCATGTCTAGGTGAGTATCCACAACGTACTGAAACAATTCATGTTAAAATATAAGTCATACCAAACCATGTCTAGGTGAGTATCCACAACGTACTGAAACAATTCATGTTAAAATATAAGTCATACCAAACCATGTCTAGGTGAGTATCCACAACGTACTGAAACAATTCATGTTAAAATATAAGTCATACCAAACCATGTCTAGGTGAGTATCCACAACGTACTGAAACAATTCATGTTAAAATATAAGTCATACCAAACCATGTCTAGGTGAGTATCCACAACGTACTGAAACAATTCATGTTAAAATATAAGTCATACCAAACCATGTCTAGGTGAGTATCCACAACGTACTGAAACAATTCATGTTAAAATATAAGTCATACCAAACCATGTCTAGGTGAGTATCCACAACGTACTGAAACAATTCATGTTAAAATATAAGTCATACCAAACCATGTCTAGGTGAGTATCCACAACGTACTGAAACAATTCATGTTAAAATATAAGTCATACCAAACCATGTCTAGGTGAGTATCCACAACGTACTGAAACAATTCATGTTAAAATATAAGTCATACCAAACCATGTCTAGGTGAGTATCCACAACGTACTGAAACAATTCATGTTAAAATATAAGTCATACCAAACCATGTCTAGGTGAGTATCCACAACATACTTAGACAATTCATGTTAAAATAGAATAAAAATCTAAAGTCAATTTGAAACAAGAGATCCCAGGTGATTGTGGTGCCTACCATCATAAGATTGTCATTAGTTGACATTTAAAAACGTCACATCCGCCATTCATCATGTCGTTTTGAATTTAACAGTATAAATCACAAATATTGGATTAATTAAATACACTTCTGTCCTCCAGACAGCAAAACATTATATTAGGTCATTAAGTGGAAGACCCTAATTCTGTCATGTCAATGACAACAAGTTTTTAAGTTTAGTGGTGCAAGAATACCATGTATATTAGCCAACCACATTTCTTGTTATAAACATGTTTAATGACCAATCGTTTTCCTTGTAACAAACAAATTTAAAATTGCTGGCAATTTACATCTACTGTTACACTTACTAGTCAATCAGGTTCATTTGAACAAACTCATATATTGTCCAATCATGTTCCTTGTAACAAATCAATTGTCATTTATTGAATGATCATGTTCTTTGGGACTTACCGGTATTAGCCAATCATGTTCCTTGTACTTAATAAATATATGCAAATTATTCCTATTTGTAATACAGAATGAACATGATGGAATCTCAAAGCAACTGTTCAGTAAACATTTGAAATATTAAACAGAATTCCTTTTTAAATGTTCCTTACACATTTGTTTTGCAAACTTGACAAATCCTTAACGTATTTGTATTAAGTGTAATCTTTTTCTCTAAGCTCTAAGTTTTACCTTTAAGAGTACAGAGTCCTTGGCAATGAGTTTTGATACAGTCAAGTTTTCCACCATATTGGCAGCAACATCTATCACTGAAACAAAGGATTAGACACATTCTTCTGTCAGAATCTGACATTGCATCATAAAAATTAATATTCAATTTCTTATTTGTTAAATCTATTCTAATTCCTATATATTATTCTATACATGTGTTCACTGACACTCCTACACCTTCTTAAGGTGGCTCCACCCTTTCGCAATTAGCCAGCAGAATTCAATGAAAGTTTCACATAATGGTTATGTCAATATGTAGAGATGATTATATGAAAATCTAAGCATTCCGATAAACTGGGGATTTTTTTGTAAAAAATACCGAAAAATTGAATTTTTGTCAAATTCAACACTTTCACTTTTTTAGTGTGTGGCATTGTTCAAAACTATTACAAAAATAAATTGATGAAAAGAAACATTCCTAATCAACCCTATAAATATTTTATTTATCATAAATATCTACAAAATGTTACAAAAAGTTTTTATTGTAATTGTATGGATAAAAGTTACTAAATACAAGATACAAGGAAACAGGACACATAGTTACATACAAAAAGAGTGAAAAATTGAACCAAATACACACAAAGTCTTTCTAACTCATTTATTTTACATTTTACAATAATTTTGATCCTGGTGAGAGTTGTCTACCTTGGAAAAAATCAGAACTTTTTGCAGAGGGATAGAATTTATACAATGACACTTATTTTCTTTACTATACCAAAAACGACAGAAAAAAATAAATTACTATATCTAATTGTCAATTTACTGTTCTTTTATGGAACAAAATTACTCTCAATTATGTACACTTTGGACATCACTCCATAGCCCGCTTACGCATGGAATATTACATGTCAGGTACATATGTAACCATAGGCTATTGCATGGTATTCCGTTATCATGTGCACGCCCATGCACTTGCATTTTATAGGGATCTTGATATTTTACAAACCACCATTTTCACAGAGTTATTGTAATCAGAGACATATAAAGCCAGTATATACATCTCTGTTGTAATTGAATTTGTGAACGATTTATCTGACAGAGCGTAACTTGCTCGACAACAAAAGTCGTAGCGACCAAGCGCTTGTGAACTACTGTTAGCACGTGATACGTACAGGTGAGGTCGGTAAACAAAACACATCAGTCTGCATTCCATGCGCCTCATATACGACCTTCTTGAAGTCGTCTGATCTTATGTCAGTGTCTTCCCGTGAATTAGTTAATGTCTTTCTATCATAAGCTTTATTTTACAAGTACGTGTGATTACACATTTCCAAGTTAAGTCTCGATATCAAGTGTTGACATATATCATCGTCACGGCACATGTACTATTGTTTACCCGGTGTTACTAAAATTTACACTACGGTAATGGAATGCCCGATACGCAATACGGAAATGACGACACGAAAATACAATAAGGAAAACATGTGTATTACGAACGGTGGGAAGTCCTTAAAAATGTTTCTTATTTTACACATATACATGAGTTACACCCAGTATAAAATCACTTTGGCCAAAATGGTTAAAGCTACTGATAAAATATAAAATGTTGTTAGTATTATTATAGTACATGTGTATACATATATAGTACACAGATTCAAAGTTATCTCCCTTGACTTACTCACCATAACGTTCATGGTTTTGAATCCTTTCACTCTCTTGACCATGGATGACGTCACTGAGGTCAAAATTTTTCCCCTAAGTGACAAACAAATATTTTATGTCGAAGTTTTTCCCTAGTATTTTTGAAAATGCTCTTTCATGTCAAATAATTTTCAAAAAATATTACAGACAATTTTGATAGGAAATGAAACTTTATTTGGGACATAAAATTACAAAAAAAATACACAAAATGTTTTTTACAGTGAAACTATAAATCTTCAATTATTTCTAAGTAGCTTGAAATGACAATTTTGTGCAGAGAAAAGCAATGGTAATTTCATTGATGATGACATCACTGGCCATTATGGTAAAATAATTGTACCACTGGCTCACTGGGAAAGAGTGGCACTAGAATTGTACCACTGGCTCACTGGGAAAGAGTGGCACTAGAATTGTACACCAAGGGCCTGTTTGTTTATGCGGAACAACCGGTACGTCCCTTTTAAATGTCACATTTTCGGGTATAAATCCTTGCGGACCCCATCCTTAAATGACTATAGCTGTTAATAGGACGTTAAACAATACTAAACCAAACCAAACCTTGCGGACCAGTAAAAGTTTATGAAGGCCTTGCAAGACTTTGTAAAGGCTCGTCTGAAAGCAGCATAAGATTACTAGGTCCGACCTTATTTCATAAACGAACTACTCTGGTCCAACCGGTTCAACTGTTTGGATAGCGATAAACGAAAATGGCCTAGGAAACCAAAAGTTTGTTTGATCATCTACATTTTGATACAAGACTGTATTTAACCATTCATCATCAATACATTACAATCTGTTGGATATATCACAAAGTGTGACCCATCTATATACATCCAGTGTATAGCAGAAGACTATACATTTTTATATACACACACCAAAGCATCTGGTCTCTCACGAAGTCTTGTCGCAGCTGCGCCCTTATTGGACGATTCCAAACGCAAATTCTCTAAATAGCTCTGAAAGACATAAATATACCTGTAATGTTCAGGTTCATGCTTAACATATAGTTCAAAGGTAGATTAGAGTTAAAAACAAACGAAGATACAATCAATGGTAAGAATCTAGACAGTGGGAGTTGAATGCTGTTTCAGGGTAGCACATGAAGTTGCCTGAAGTGCTGGATGGAAATACAAGATTTACATGGAACATTACTTTACAGAAAAAGGCTATTCTTTCTCTGACCACAGTGGAGAAAGAATTCAAGGTAGTAATACCAGAATTGATGATGTACGAGCTACTGTTTGTGACATCATGTTATAGTGATGTCATTGGGTATCGTGTAGTATGACATTATCAATACAGCGATAACTCAAACTGTAAGCCAAAGGCTAACTAATTCCCCGCGCCCCTATATAAACCAGAACTGTAAGGTAAAGGCTAACTAATACCCCGCGCCCCTATATAAACCAGAACTGTAAGCCAAAGGCTAACTAATACCCAGCGCTCCTATATAAACCAGAACTGTAAGGTAAAGGCTAACTAATATCCTGCGCCCGCTGCTATATAAACGAGAACTGGAAGGTAAAGGCTTACTAAGGCAAAGCATTGCAAAGCAATCCATAGTCTCCAACCAGTGATGATTTCTTTATTGACTGTGAGCTGTACACTTATTTAAGTATACTGGTCACTGACATACTTCCTGTACTCCATCCCCATGCCAAAACACACTTACATACCAAATCTTGTTAGCCCAGATGAACCAGTTTTGCTAAAATTGTCCTATTAGTTAAGGAAAAGATGTCAGGACAAAGATTTTTAACAAAGGGCCATAACTCCTTAAAAAGGGTTGAAATACAAAAAATACTAGCCTTATGCACGACATCAAGGGGTGATTACAATATGTGTAAACTTTCATTGAAATCAGCGCAGCAGTTTATTGAGGCAGAGAAAGGTTTATTCAACGAAGGATCATATCTCCTTTTAAAAGGGTTCGAATGAAAAGGTACTACTTGGATGCACAACGTCAGGGGGCAGTTATCATATTTGTAAAAAAATTGAAATTGGCCCAGTAGATTAGGAAAAGTTGTCAGGACAAGAATTTTTCAACAAAGGGACATAAATCCTTAAAAAAGGGTTGGAAAAAAATCCTGGATGCACAACATTAGGGGGTAGTTATCATATCTGAAAACTTCCGTTGAAATTGGCCGCACAGTCTTGGAGGAGTTGTCAGGACAAGCATTTTTCAACAAAGGGCCATTACTCCAAAAAAAGGGACAGATTGAAAAAAATCAAACCTGGATGCACAACATCAGGTGGTAGTTATCATATGTGAAAACTTTCATTGAAATTGGCCCAGAAGTTTTGGAGAACTGTGTGGGAAAGCATTTTTCAACAAAGGGCAATTACTTCGTTAAAAAAAGGTCAGAATGAAAAAATAATACCTGGATGCACAACTTAAGGTGGTAGTTATATTTATCATATATGGAAAGTTTCGTTGAAATCCGTCCATTACTTTAGAAGGAGTCGTCCTGACAAAATTTTTCTAATGTATCAAATTGTTGAGCGTGCAAAACATACAGCTAATTATTTACCTGGTTAGTCGGCAGTCACGTGTAACGAATTTATTTTACAACAATTATGAAACAAGTTATTTCAACTCATATTAATCACTACTGTTGGCTCAGATGTTAGCATGTGGGGGTCTTAATGTGGGAGGAAATTGGAGTACCCAGACAAAACCTACATGATTGGAAAGGTGACCCCAAACATTTTCATGTCCGATCGGGGAAACAAACCCTGGCCGCCTAGGTGAAAGGAGAGTGCGTTATCCACTGTGCCATCGGACCTATACATTAGTAACATTAATGGTTACACTAAGAAAAAACTGATCACCATAATAGTTCATCAATAGGTGTCTGTTCTTAACAAATCTTGTAAAACTTAAGTACATTATCCAAATTTGCATATTATTTATTAGAATCTTGAAAAAAATGTAAATGACAACACAAATTGTAATCATAAACAAGAAGGGAAAGTGATGTGCAGTCACTATAGGCAACACAAGGCCTGCTCGATTTGTGCAAACTGGGCGCCCAAGTTGCCAAATAATTACATCTTTGATGGTAAAATAACCAAACATATGACTGACATTTAAAAAAAAGTGAGCTTTTGAAACTACTGGTTATATGTGTATAAGATCTGTCCAATTTGATTGCAGGATACAACTATGAATACAATCATTAATGTTTTCAAATAATCTGCTAATGCACTGAAGAATATTTTTAATGGTCCTGACAGTTTTGACATAACATTGTTTTAATAGCACATGTACACACCTGTAGGACAGGTAACTCTGGTAAGGTGTCGCCCACTACCTGTATAAATAGGGCTTGACAGTACCAGTTCAAACTGCTCAGCCTCTGTAGCGCCTGGAACAGATACATGGTAATCAGCAATCTACCTCTACCTAGTACTATCTTCTCTACTGTCACTTTCAATTCTATCATGTTTCAGCTTAAGTAAAACTATATCTGTATAAAAAAGACAAAAAAATAAATTATCATAAAAAGTCACATTTTAATTTGCCAAGATTTTTTAGGAACAATAAATCTAGATAATACCTCATGCGTAACATATCATTTGTGAATTTAAAGTTCAGACCTTAAATGTTTGTCAGTATCATATATTTGGACAAAGGTGATAGCCCTTTGAACCCCCC